AATACCACGACGACGCCTTGTTAAAGGAGCTAGGTCACGGTTTGCGCATCTTGAAACATGTAGCCTAAGTTTTTCAAGTTCGTCGTTTGTAATCCGCGTTAATCTTCTGCATCCTTAACCGTCCTTGTTCCTGTATGGTTTATTAGTATCTTTTCGGTGTTTTTCTACCTAAGTAAACTACTATTTTCGGGTTTCCTTCAATTTCAAAGTAATTTTCTACGTAGTCGAAATAACTCAAAATGCCGTGACTGAGCTCCTTTAAAGGCGAAATTATGTCTTTGTTATTTTGTGATTTTCCAGATCTATTCTGACAGTCAGAATTACAGACATAGACATAACAATTTTTCTTGGGCAATTCCTGTCCAAGGGGAAGGGTGCAATGAGGTTAACCCTATGTGAAGCACCAACCCGTGACTCAAGGCCAGACCACAACACCGGGAACTCCGTGCCCTACTCTCTTTACCTTCTAATGGAAGACTAGTTTCAAGCCCAAAATAGAAACAAACAGATATTCACTGTCACGGTTCGCAGTTTAAGACAAAAGTTGTATAAACCCTACGAGGAAAGACATCCTAGTAATCAAACTAGCGAACCTTTCTCTTGTCTTCGAGAAGCTCGCGGTCTTTTTTAGGCTGTATTGCTTTATTGCGTTTCTCAGCTTTACTTAGACGAGTCTGATTTCGCATTCCGGCGTTAAAGGTGCTACGTCACGGTTTGCACATCTCAAAAAGTTTAGCCTAAATTCTACAAGTTCGTCGTTTGTAATCCGTGTTAATCTTCTCCATCTTTAACCATCCTTGTACATTTATGGTTTATCATTATCTCTTTGGTGTTTTTCTATCTTATTAAACTATTATTTTCAGGTTTTCTTCAATTTAAAGGTAATTTTTTACGTGCCAAAATGACTCAAAATACCGTGACTGAGCTCCTTTAAGCTTACTGATTGTGGTACACTAGTACGGAATTTCTGCTATGCAACCCGAACTTTGATAACCGATATCGGGATGGCAAACGCCATACTGTCCGTCTTTTAGAGTTTGCTTACATCATTTAAAAATACGTTCGACTCAACCGTTTGATTTGATTTTTTTACTGCTTAGGTGGGGCAGGCGGAGTTGTACCTCAGACTTGTCAACAGCCGTGATACCACAACACAAGATGAATTAAATCCTCAGCCGTTACAGCATTACCTCTACAGATATCCATCAATGGTGAGACCCTGCAATGAAGAATTTCTTTTTTCCCTCTATTGACCTTTAACAGAAAACAGATATCCTTCGGGGCGCGCTGAATTCTTTCCTTACTTGAGAGAAGTCTGGGATTGGAGCAGAAAAATTGCGTAATGATGACGTACCACTGCAGAGCGTCTGTGATTGGTTGTGACGAACTTTTTCGCGGGAAAGCTTTAACCAATCACAGGCACCATTCGGATCTCTAAAGAGCTGCATCATCATCATGGGCTGACGTTCTTGTTTTCTAAGCCAAAAGATAACGATATTTACCAAGAAAAAAAAACAGTTGTATGAAAGCTCTCTTTTTAGTTGAAACTCTATGCAAACGTGGGCCAAGCAAGAGGAAAGTCCTCTCTGCAGAAAACTCTCTCTCTCTCTCCTCTTCTTTTGACTAATATTAACGGAAAGAACTGACTTGCGTGACGTAGACCTGTTTGAAGGAACCTGCTGTTCGGAAACTAACGATAACTCTGACTCGTTTTCTGTGGAGACAATTGTAAGACTTGGAGATTAATCTTCTCAAAGTTAGTTATGTCGTGCGATGTTCTTAAAAGAGACTCCAGGGAACATGCCAAATTGCATTGTTAATCTAATACTTGTTTTCACTGAAGGACAATATTCGTGTCATGCCACAAGTATCTTCGTTACCAGTCAGCCGTGGGTTACAGAACTTGGTTCCAGCACCACCCCCGTCAGTACCTCCCCCTCCCGACACCCCAGTGTCTGTTGTGCAGAGAGCTGAAAGGTCAGTAGAAAAGGAAATTTTGAATTTTTTAGTTGTGTCGTTGTTGTACACGTATAACCAAACTTCCAGATTCATGTATAAGTGAGTTATAAACATGTGGGATAAAAAAGTATTTGCGCCAGGTCTGGTTTTGAAAACGAGGTATTGGTCCGGATCTATATTTTTCGTTGATGTATTTGTTAGTGCCCCAAGAACCCCGCTTGAGGAGTCGATAATTGGTTTTCAAGTGGATAAACTGATTGACGCCATTCAAGGAGAAGCCAAGATTAAGATTACAGTCTATGAACACGATCAAGGACAGGTACGTGGCTCAAAGACAATCAATCAATCAATCAATCAATCA